GTGAATATTGGATGGTAAAGGGTTAAAAAGTTGTAAAGAATTATTGAAAGATACTTATCAGAAGAATAAAGATTTTATGTTTACTTTGGCGGGATTTGAGAAGTGGTTAAAAAAATCCCAATTCCAAGGCGAGAACTAAAGACATACGAACAAAACTAATTACCTAAGTTAATTCATTCGCTACAATTATTACAATATTTTCCTTGTCAGCAACTGTCAGTGCAAGAATGAGAAACAAACTTTTTATAATCTTTACTGTAAAAAAGTGAGATAAAATTGGTTGATTTAGGTATTGGTTGATAATTATCTTTGCTTTTGCTTTGGTTTTCTAATTTCGTAATATTTTGTATTAGAGACCTATTTCTGACTTGTAAATTCTGGACGATTTGTCTATACTTATCTTTTTGGATTTCTAGTAATTTCGTTTCTTTTACTAATTTTTCTTCTGACTCTTTTTTAATCTCCAATTTGTGATTCAATTGCTCTAATTGTTTTTCTAATTCGGGACAATGAGGGCAAGATTCTGCATTATTAGGTTTGGGTTCTACATTTGAGGGTTCCACAAGTTCTATATCTATTTTTATTTCGGCTGTTTCAACCTGTTCCAACTTTTTTTTCAACCTTAATTTCTTCCTTGATGTCTACAACTTTTTCTTGGGGTTCGGTTGTAGACATTTTATTCTTAGTGTCTACAACTAAAGGGCTGTCTACAACTGAATTATTTTTGTCTACAACCCCCAAAATGTCTACAACGGGATTTTCTGTGTCTACAACCATTTTTAATTTAGACTGACTTGCTTTTTTATGTTAACTTAAGTATTCCTTTCTCTTTTGATTATATTCTTTTCAATAGGTTTTATCTTTAACGATTGACACAAGATTAAAACATTTTCACCCTTTTTATAAAAAACTATCCAAACACTTTCGGCTTTTTTCTCAATTCTTGACTCTTTTCAAAATTCATTATTCTATCATACAGTTCTAAAAAACTGTTTCACCAATCACCGCTTCAGCAAAAACAAAAGGGATAATTAAATAACCTATAAGCAGATATTGTCTTATCTAACCTAGATAATTCTTCAGTATAATACCGATTAGACTTTTCTCAGCAATTTTTAGAGTTACTATGACGACAGCCTATCACATCACATTCTCAAATCCCTCCTCTTTGATGTCTGGCTTCAGCATAATAAAAAATTACTTTCCTTTCTATTTCTTTATCCTGGGGAAAGTGCTCCGCATTCCTACCTTCTTTAATACATTGTAAAACAAAAGTAATTTTCCGAAAAACCGACAGCAAATATAAGCAATAATTTTGCCTACATACTCCGTAAGTAAAGCCTTGCGGCAGACAATCATAAAATTCTTCTTCGCAAGAGTAAGTATCAGATAAAAACTCTAAATCTTTACGGAGTTGACCTGTTCGGGCATCAATTCCAAACTGATGCTCTCATTCTCCTCCAATAATACAAAATTTCTTTATTTTTCCTTTGACACAAAAATCACATTCAAGATTAGCACATTTATTTCCTTCCATTATTACTCGTTTTTTATTCGTTTTTGGTTTTCTCTAATCATTCGAATTATCTTATCAGCCATCCCTTGGTATTCAGCCTTATGTTCTCTTTGAACTTTTTCTCGTGGCGGTCTTTTTTCTATTATCCTTTCTACTGGAGCAGTTAAAAATTCCTTTTCGCCTGCGGCAGACTTATAAATCAAACTAAACTCGATATTTTTGCCCTCTTTCAAACGATTAGCCATGGAAATAAACTTGCTTTCATGGGCAAATTGATATGTTCCAACTATGTTTACCTTTCCCTCACGATAATCATCAGCAATCAATTTTTCTGTTAACTTTAAAACCCCATAACTCATTATTTCCCGAGTAGATTTAGTGGTTCCAATCACTGCTTCGGCAAAAGGTTGCTTAATCCAAGTATCCTCATGGGCAGTAGGAACCTTTTCAAAAATAAAAATCTTGAAATACTTCTTACGATTACGGGCAATAAAGTTATCTAGTTCCAATCTGAATTCTCTTTCTTTTCGTAAATTAGGAGGTGGTGTTCCTTTTAAAAGCCGTTCTTCCTCCAACTGTCCCAAAGTTTTTTCCTCCTCACCAATAATTTTACCTTCCTCACTCTTACTAACTTTTAAAAGTTGTGGAGGAATATTGTTGTAAGCCGAATAAGATGGTTTGTTTTGTGGTATCTGGAAATATTTGTCCTCCTCTTGGGGTTCAAAATTTTCTAACATTTTTTCTAATTGCTTAGTAGTAGTTTCTAACTTGATTTTTACTTTCTTGGGTTTTCCCTCTTTTTCATAAAGTCTAGTCGTTTGTCAATCAACCTCTAATTTTTTAAACAAATAATAAACCTCATATAAATTTTGGGCTTTTAAACTACAATAAGAACAACTAAATTGCGGATTTTTAGCAGGATCGAAAATCAAGTCAGTTAGAAAGGTTTTTTTATTTTTGTTTGCCTCTTCGAAAGGATTATGTCACAGGCAAATGAAACGAACGACTTTTCCATCACCAATACTCCCATCTTTATTATGTATTATTGGCCATTTTAGTTCTTCCCGCAAGAAGCCAATTATCTTTTGTGGATTTAATTCACTATCGATCATGAACGGATGAATATATTAAGTTTATATATTTGGGGAGGACGAGATCCATTCAGGATGCTTTTTTTTGATTAGTGATAGTTGATGGCTAAGAATTTATAAAAACATTATTTAGGAGAAATTTCAATTTGAGAGATTAAATTGATCTGTTCTAATTTTTGAGTTAAAGAATTAATCTTTATTTCTAATTCTCTTATGGTCGTTCTTAATTCTCTATTTTCTTTTGTCAAAAAACCTAGTTCTTCTTCCAAAAGTTTGAGTTTGCTTTCTAATCGCTCAATTTTTTTATCCTTGTTTGGTTCATTATGTTTAACCTGCTCCAGTTCTTTTTTGATTTCTTCTATCTTGGTAGTAACAACTTGAACTCTTTCGCTATCAGAAATTTTAGTTACCTTTTTCATTAACTCTGGATGATCTAATTGCCAAGCTTCTAAGTCATAATTGTAAGGACGAAGCTGGTCTTGGATGGTTTTGCACTTAGCGTCACTGCTGTGAGGAGAGCATTCAATAACACAATATTTCTGAGTCTTCTTTTGAATTTTCGCCAAACTAGTTAAATATTCTAATCCTCTATCAACATCAGTGGCTTCAATACAAATTCTTTCTAACTCATTTAAATCTTTTAAACTTTCCAACGAACCATAAAATTTATTACGCCTCCCTTTAGAGACATTTCAATGCAAGGCTCCTAATTTTAGTTCTTTCAAATTAACAAAAGGTTTAAAGAAGGCAATATCAGTTGGCTGAATTTGGTTACCATAAATTTCAATTTTAGTCATTTTAGAAGGGTAAGGTAACTTGGATAAAAATTCTACTGAAATGAATTCATTTAAACTTACATTTATTCTTTCTAGATTAAGGCATTTTGAAAGATCCAAATTAGTTAAACTATTTGAAGCAGTTCAGATAAGTTTCAAGTTGGGTTTATTTCCCAAAATGAGTTCCTTAATCTTAGAACCTGTGTAGTCTCCTGGGCATTGAAAACTTTCTAAACTAGTAAATTCAGATAAATCTATTCTACTGCAGTCAGTTTTTCCACTCCGTTGATCTTTAGGAATTATGTTCCAACTAATTTCCTTTACCTGTTTTTTTTCTCACTCGCTAGGATATTTTTGGTCCAAATATTCTTGTAACGTAACCATAATGTTTAATTTTATTCTTTTTCTAGATTAGATTTACTTATTTTTATAACTCCTTTTGTGACATTAGTTGCTTTTTTTTATCAACATTATTACTTATCCCTTTTTTTCTCTTTAGTTTCGTCTTTTTTGTGGCTACCAGTTTCGCCTCTTTCTGTCGAATGTCAACCGGTTTGCTCTCCAAATCCCGACTCGGTTTGTTGACCACTTATTCATTCTTGTTGAGAACTACTCATCTCTTGCATCTTAGGCATTTCTTGCTGCTGTAAATTAATATTAATTTCATTAGTATTTAATTGACTCTGAATTTGCTCGGGCATTTGGGTACTGATATCAAGAGAACTAACGTTTGGCAAAGACATTCCTAAGCCACCAGTAGCCTGCCCAATATTACCCAAGCCAACCGGCAAAGATATTTGGGCTCCACCACCTCCCGAAAAAGCATCAGGTGGGTTATTACCTCAACCTTCAACACCCGAAAATCCTTCAATAGGAACAGTTCAGGAAAGATTAAAAGGATTTTGGTTCATTTCTATTCTACTATAAATAATTCTCGTATTATTTACTTCGCAATATAATTCTACTGGATGTGTGCTGCCTCCTTTATATTCTAAAACTCAAACACTGTTCGCCGGGTCTGTGGCCACATAAATTTCCTCTTCTTTTTGATCACCTTTCATATAACCCATAACAACATATTTTTGCCCGCGACCAAATTTAACTAAGCCATTACTTTTGGGAAAATTGACTTTTTGATATTGATTTTCTTTCAAATGGCTCGGAAAGTCGCTCCAACTTTTCTTAGTTGGTGTATCTCCCCCTAAATATTGATTAACTTTGTCTCCATAACCTGTTTTTAACCCACAACTTTCCACATTAAATCCTCCGGAACTAGAAACGCCTCCACCTGTTCACATATAGCAGAAAGCATAACCACTTGAACAAGTGTGCTTTTCCTTAGTTATTTTAGTTTGTTTATTCTGAATGTTTAAAGTATCTGTTCCTCCATCTTGGCCTATGCTATTAGTGAGAGTTCCACGAAATCCTGGAAAAAGACTTTCCAGAGTAATCTTAGGTCGTTTACTTTCCCTTAATTGATAAACAAAAATGTCTTCTTTAATTCAATAATCAATAAAAGGGTTATGACTACCCTGAAAGACGATAGTATCTTGCAATTGCACTCAGCCGTGAAATTTAGTTAGGGTTCCTTTTTTTCTTTTAATTCCCCATTCATCTTCTTCTTTTTCCGAGTCTTTGTCATAACCAATCCCAAATTCCATTCCAACGTCCTTTGCTAAAGAAACTTCTGGGTCTTTGCCAAAATAAAAATCGTACTGAATTAGTCGGCGGTTCATTTCGTTTCGCCAACGGTCAGAGTAAACGGCACTAGTTCGGGCTTCTACAAATAGTAGAGGTAAGAAAGATTTATGTGCAATAAACTCGGTAATAGAAGTCTGATAGGCGGCTTTGCCACCAAAAAAAGTCCTCGGCAAGCCAGTTCAAGCCTGCCCTACTTCCCCTGCAAATTCCATGCCGGCTTTTTTAGTGGCTGAAATTATTCCGCCCGCTCCTGACATTATTCCGCCCATGCTTGCTTCTATTGCTTTTTGTGTTGCGAAACCCATTGTTAATTCATCTTTTGCATCACCAATACCACCCTTCACATCACCTCAAGTTTTGCCAGTTGGCTTGCCCTTTTTATCTACAAAAGGAGTGGCTCGTCTTTTTGCAATAGCAGCTCCTGCCGCATCCATTAAGGAATTCCCCGCAGCCTCCCCCGCGGCTATTGCCCCCACCCCCGCCTTACCGGCAGCAAGAATACTAGCTCCACCAGAACCGGCAGCTAAAGCTAAAGAGCCAATTGAAGACGCTGCCCATTTAGCCAAACCTCCGTCGGAAGGGTCTAAATCTTCTTTTAGCATGCAATCAAAAAAACATTCTTCTCAATTTCTACCATAATAAACCACCAAACTCATCCTTCAACCCACATAAGAAGAAAAACGAACGGATCAACCAAAACCATATTTATCTTTTTGTTTACCTGTTCTCTTATCAAATGCCTTCTCTATTCCGGCCATCTTGGCAAAATCTTCTCCGTAAACCTTAAAATTATAGTAGCAATGCCTTTCTATATAGTGATTCGCTTGGTCTTTAGTATCTACTTCTCAAAAAAGAGGCTGTTGCCCATCAATTCCTGCTGCATATCTTTCGTCAGTTTTGCTTTCGTGCGGACGGCCATAAAAACAGGGAAAAATGTAGGACCCAACAGCTTTTTCCCCAGGATTCAAAGCTTTTCAAGCTTCTTGTTTGAACCTTCTTCTGTCACGAGCTAAAAACTCAGAAGCATAACTGCCTTCTGTTATACCAGCAAAAGATAATTTTTGTCCCGGTACAACGTCATCTTCGTCTGTTCCTACACCTACAAGTCCAAAAGTTCCAATCCTTGTAGTCACATTAGCAAGTTTTTTTAATAAATACCCAATTTTCCGTCCAGTTTTATTCATTTTAGTTTCGGCTGTAATTATTCCCGTTTCATAAAGAATAGATAACATTGGAGGCTTTCCCTTCCCCTCTTGTTCGGCAACCGGATTATTTACTTCGTCGTTACTCATAGTATTCTACAAAATTTGATATTTATTTTCTCTTGGGAACTAAAAACGGTTGTCACTTCACTTCTCCTTTTTTCCTAAAAATAACTTTTTTTCAATCATTCTTACTTTCCATTTTCAATTCCGCCTCTAGCCTAATCATGAAATGAGAAAAAGTTTCAATAACTTCATTTTTGTCTTCATCATACTCTACTTCAACCACTTTTTCCCCACCTTCTCCTAATTTTAATTCTATGGTTGCCATTAAATATTTTAAGGATTAAAAAAGTTAGGGAAAGACCCACTAATACCATTACCT